GACCAGGCTGCCCCTCCTCCTCCTCACACCAACCAGGGCTCCCAGCACCGATTGCACCCCGCCTCCCAGTCACTCCACCCACCCCCGCCAGGCTTCCATCTGGCGCCCCGCCATAAAACCAGGAAATACTGGACATTGCACCTGGCTGGTATTTTCTGGATTTTTTTACCAGACAGAGGGCCCAAAAACCGGACTGTCCGGTAGAAAACCAGACACCTGGCAACCCTGTCTACTTTCAGGGTTTGGGTCCACACTAGGGATGTTAAATATCAGTTAATTGAATAGTTGATTAACCTCATGAATTCTTCTCAGCTAGTCGACTATTCTATAGTCCTCAGACAGCCCCTATCTGGGGCGGGGTGGGGTCTGAGCTCCTGGACCCAGCGCAAGCTGCAACTGAGCCAGGCTGCCTGCCTGCCTGGCTCCTAATACACTTTAAATGCAGAGCTGCAGCAGCGGGTAGGTCCAGGACCCAGTGCAAGCCGGGGCTGGCCAGCCTGTAAAAAATTTACTGGCAAAGGGTGTGGGTGGGGGAGAAATGTGTATAGTCTATAGCATTAACCTATACGCTTTTGTTTATTGGGTACTCAGTTAATTGACTGCACTATTACATCCCTAGTCCACACAGTAGCTTCTTCCTTGTAGAAAGAGGTTTAAATGTTGGCTAAACCCCTTTGTTCTTTCGATTTTCTTTCGAAAGAACGCGATTGTGAGGGTTTTTTTTCCGAGAAATATGTCTGTTTTGCCAAAAAAAAACCTCTGTAGTGTAGAAATACCCTCAGGCAACCTTCAGCTTCCCTGAAAGCCAAGGTGCCTCCTGCTTCCCAACCAGAGCAAGAGTGTGTCTGTGTCCTCTCTCCAGGAGCCTCATTTATGCAGCCCCGGCTGGGCCCTAATTGGCTGCTTTCTGCTGCAGCCTCTTGCTCCAGAGCTCAAGCCCGCTCCCAGGGCTGGGTTTTTAGTCCTTAAAGGACCAGTGTGGGGCAGACGCCCCATCACAGGGACCACTCCTGACTTGACCAATCCTGACAATGAGGTACTCTGGCAGGACTTTTCCCTCTAATTTCTAAGGGTTCCCTCACGGGTCTATTACTTGTATTGCAGGTCGTAGAATAAAATCTGCGGAGAACTCCATGCTCTTGCCCAGTCGCCCTTCAGTAGTTTATATTTCAGGGGATACTGCTGGGTATAAATACTACTCAGTTTGCAAGATTAAAAGCTCAACTATATGGCTTAATTTTACTAAATGTTTCCATTGCTTGCATGTATTGTCTGTGCGCTAGTCTGGGACAGGTCCTTAATGAACCTCTGAAGGCCCTCATCTAGAACAGACATCAGAAGTAGAGGCCCTTCCAAGGGCACTTCTTACCTTGGCCATTGTAGCATTGTCAATAGTTTCTGGAACTAGAGGCTCACAGTCCAGGGGTTTAGCAGTAAGGAGATGTGCTAAACCAAGAACAGCAGCAATGCAGGCCAGTAGCATGATTTTGCAGGGAAGTGAGAAGCAGTGGAATCAAGCTCTCATATCAGCACAGGCATCTGTATTTATAGACATTCATGGCTCCTCACCTCAGATTTCCCAAATGTACCTCCGCATCCAGGAATCTGCTGGCTACTCAGATTTGACTTGGTTAATGTTCTGTTTGCTTAATGATGAAGCAATGAGAGGTGTTGTTCTGCTAAACGTCCGAGTCAAGGCTAAGTTCATTTTAGAACCATAGTTTTTAGTTTATGGGGGTATGTTGACAGGCTTTTCCTTAGTTCATAATGTAAAAATAAATAGAGCTACCGACAAAATGATTTGCCATTATTTTTTCTGTTTGCATCAATTTAATGTCCCTTGAACATTTATACAGACAACACTAGTTTCACAAATATTCACACATAGCACTTTATAAAAGCAGGCGTAAATGGGATGAATTGAAATGGAGTTCAGCAACTTGCTACACGATTAATGGAAAACTTGCCCCACTGATCTCCTTTCCCACCCCAGTTATAATTATGGGCTGTGCCTACTTGCTAATAAGGTATAATGGGTTCAACTTCTATGCTGTTGCTTCCTTATTCCCTGTTGATGGCAGACTATTGTCACTTCTTAAGGGCTTATCTAGTTTACACCAGTAACTGTCCATATTCCTTTAAGTAACCTTTCAGTATTAAATAAATCTGAATTTGTTAATAGTGGGCAAGCTTTTATCTATTCATCCCTCTTTTCATATGTTTTTGTTCAGCTTATCTTTACCATTCTCTTTTCTACCTAGACTGATGGAGTACATCTATCCTCCATCCTTAGCTCAAAAGCTTCAGGGGGTGGCCGAGTTAGTCTGTTACAGAAAAAAAACAACAAATAGTCTGGTAGCACTTTATAGATTAACAAAACATGTAGATGATATCGTGAGCTTTCGTGGGCACAGCCCACTTCTTCAGACTGGTCATCTGAAGAAGTGGACTGTGCCCACGAAAGCTCATGATACCATCTACATGTTTTGTTAGTCTATAAAGTGCTACCAGACCATTTGTTGTTTTTTTCCTTAGCTCAAAATAAGCTATGCAATTTGAGCTACGCAAATTGCGTAGCTTAGTTCGAGTTAATTTCAAAATAACTTCTTCTGAAACATCCCTTAATCCTCGTGGTTTACAGGGACATCAGAATAGAGCGCCCATTATTTTGAAAGTAATTTTGATATAATGGGAGAGCTGTCACAACCCAGAAACTGCTATTTCAGCATACCAAAAGTATCCCGAAATACCACTGCTGTCTAGATGCACCCATGGGTATTTTCACATTTATTTTCCGAGATGCTGCTTTGAATGTATCTGTCAGATGTTTCTCTATCAGTGACTAATTGATCTTCAGGCATTTGAGGTGAGCCATGCTAGGTTTTGTTGGCTTCATTTCTGCTATGTCAGATGTGAAATCATGATTTTTATTACACCACAGCTAAAGGCTGCAAGTGAAATTGAGGCTCTGTTATGCTAGTCATTACATCAGAAACCATCCTACACCAGGGCTGTGTCTAGACTGGCAAGTTTTCCGTAAAAGCAGATGCTTTTGTGGAAAAACTTGCCAGCGGTCTACACTGGCCGCTTGAATTTCCGCAAGAACACTGACGATCTCATGTAAGAAATCAGTGCTTCTTGCGGAAATACTATTCTGCTCCCATTCGGGCAAAAGTTCTTTTGTGCAAAAGCTTTTGCACAAAAGAACTTTTGCCCGAATGGGAGCAGAATAGTATTTCCGCAAGAAGCACTGATTTCTTACATGAGATCGTCAGTGTTCTTGCGGAAATTCAAGCGGCCAGTGTAGACCGCTGGCAAGTTTTTCCACAAAAGCATCTGCTTTTACGGAAAACTTGCCAGTCTAGACACAGCCCTGGTGTAGGATGGTTTCTATTCTAAAGTGGTTTATAGTCTAAGACAGATCAGGGAGTTAAAGAAATTAAGTAACTTGCCTCAGTTGAATTCTCCCTTCCTAAGGCCACAAATGAAAGATGTGGTAGAATAGGAACTGAACCCACTTTTTCCAAGTCCCAGTCCAGTGCCTGAACCACAAAACTATTCTCCCTTCCTAAAGCAGCATTCTGAGCACACCTGTTGGGTGTAGAAATTCAGTGTGTGTCACCTGTTTTGTGCTGGAATCACATGCTATGTATATTTGACTAAAGAAGCCTCAAAGTGGCACTCTAACAGGCTGGTACCTTTGCGTCTGAATCAAAGGGCTATGCTGAGGCTGTAGCTAGAGCAGACTAAAATCCGTAGGGAACTTTCATATAATGGAGCATTGGCTTATTCATCACATAGCTTATAAACTGGCTGACAGCGTGGTTAAGCTCTGTGCAGGACGACAAAGGAAACCATTTCCAGGAAGGTGCTAAGTCTTGCTCATAGTGAGAAATGGAGGATGCTGCCACTCGTAAAAATAAATCCCTTTGTTTGAAGCTCTCTGGCTTATAGTTTGCAATGCCAAACTAGATCTTCCATTATGCCAGTATAATTCCAGTGACTCGAACAGGGTCGACCTAGTGAGGAGGAGAGAAGAGTTTGGCCTTTTATCCAACATGTCTTTTCATCTAGGTTCTTACGCTGGAACACCTAACTGTAGTAGTGGAGCCCTTCGAGAGGACTTGTCTTGTGCTGCTTCTATTCATTGCTTTTGTTCATTTCAGCATTAATCTCTTGAGATTTAGGATTGACTTGCTGGATTCACTGTTCAACTACTGCACTAGCCCTCGAAATGGCCTTTACAGCCTGCCTGTCCTCCCTCTGTTATTTCTCTAGCTCCTAATAATCGCTCTCCCCTTACTGAGCTATTTCTTAATCATCTTAGATCATGTGTTAGAGATGGTCCTTGGGGGACAGAGGCCTCCTTGTCAAACACCGACTGTGTACATAAGGCAGAGGAACTGGTAGTGTAATGTGAATGGACTCTTTTTTATTTTTATGACTCCTCTATCTTCAGATTGAGCTAATTGTTTTTAATCCTTATGCTTTGTATCCTTTTGTTTGGTGGTCTAGAATCTGATGATTGGCTGGGGGCTACATAGCTGTATGTGGGGCTAATTGTGTTTGTCCTCACTGATGAAAACTAAATGTTTCATTCCTGAACACTAGCATTCTGTGACTGACTAATGGCTGACTTGAATCAGACATAATCAGCTCCTCCAC